AAATCGCTCAAAAGTTGATACGGATCTACGATTTTGATAAAATACTTATATATGAAATTTCATCAACATAGCTATAACGGTACTCAAGTTATCGTGTTTATACACAGACAGACAGACACACACACACACATACGGTCAAGATTGCAAAATTATGTTTTTCCGTATCTGTGAGGTGTAGAACGTCGATTTTTTTTTGCACGATTACAAGATTTTCTATATACTTCGTATATACGAGAAAGTAAAAAAAAGTATCATATGAAACGCAGTTAAAAAGAAAATAAAGCTCTTTATACAACATTTTTTAATCTTTAAAACATAAAACAAGAAATAAAGCTATTTGTACGAATCAGACCAATAGGAAATTTATTATTATAAGTAACATTTTTTTTAATTCATAAAAAATGGTTTTAATAACAAGCTTTTATGTAATAATGCACTAAAAAGTAGAACACATATTATCAGGGGCGGAACTACAGTGCCGCCAGACCCCGCAATGCGGGGGGGCCCACGACGTTTAGGGGCCCAATTCCGATCAAAAAAACAATGAATTTTCTTTTCATAAATAATGTTTTTCGTGCACCTTGATAGTGGTTTTGTAAAAACCAAACAGGTCTACTATAGCAGTGATTGTTCTACAGTAACTAACACACACAGTTGCGTAGAAAAATATAAAATCTATAAGAGCTCTACTTTGAAAGATAGGCAAACGTTCACACTACTTCCATGACTTACTGCCCTTCATTAAAACACGGGTGCCCATAAAGCTCATTTAAATAGTTTTGTATTATGTAAATTAAAGAGCCATTTATTCTCTTGATTATTATTTAAATAAGGCATACTAAAAAATCCTATAGCTATAAAAATGAATGTATTCAAAACTAATAATATAAATACAAAAAATCATAAAAATAAACATAACGCGAGAAACCATTGCGAAATCAAGCTTACGTGTTTATATAATTTTGATCAGCCAGCATTTGGTCGCAATTTTTGTTAAACATAAAGACGTAATACAATTTTTTTTTCTGTTTGTAAAACACGATTATTGCGGGCCCGAAATGAGTTCGGACTTATTGGTGACTTTGTTGTCTGGTTCGTTATATCAGAGTGGTTATACATTGCAATAAAATAGATTAAAATACTCAGGTAATAGACTATTTAAAATTTAGAGAAGCGGGCTACTTAAATATATATCTGTATGTATGTGTATGTATGTATGTATGTATGTATGTATGTATATATATATATGTATGTATGTATATATATATATATATATATATATATATATATATATATATATATATATATATATATATATATATATATATATATATATATATATATATATATATATATATATATATATATATATATATATATATATATATATATATATATATATATATATATATATATATATATATATATATATATATATATATATATATATATATATATATATATATATATATATATATATACATATAGGGGGGGCCCAAAAAAAATTTTTTTGCGGGGGAGCCTTTTTTTTCTAGTTCCGCCACTGCATATTATACACAACTATTTAAATAACTACATAGCAAAGCGTGGGTCACTTAAGTATTTGTTGGATACCTTTACTAATATTATGAAGAATATAATCAAAGTATTGCAACAGTAACAATTGGTTTTAATTATCATTAAATATCCATATTTTCCGCCCGATTACCATTTACAACTTCATTACAAGGGAGGCTATAAATAAAATGTTCATTAAAACCGTTAATAATAGAGAAAAATTCAATTCCAATAAAATTTCTTTTAAAAAGATTCATTGTTTGATATTTAATTGAACCTGAGTATTAATACTGCTTTGTAATTATTTTGTATTTACTTTTTCATAGATTTTACACTTATTATTTGACTCTAGTCTAAATTGAAAACTTTTACCTTTATGAAATATTTAATTTTAAGAGATTGCAAGTATTCCAAGTAAAATCGTTTCTCCTCAAATCTACTTTGATGACAAGTGAATAATATTTTAATTTAATTACTATTATAGATCTGTATGCAATTGATGTTCATGTCTTGATGCTGTGTTAAACCATTAAAACAAAAATTATTATTACTATTTTAAATGGTTAAAACAATTGAATTAATAAAAAATAAATTTAAAAAATGTTTTAGGACTGCTATAGATATAGATGTTGGAACGGGAAGAATGTTTGCTTTGATGTGTCTCATTGTAATAACATAACTTATCATGTTGCTTACAATTTGTATCATTTTAATTCTCTGTAATCTCAAATTTATTTCAGCTCTACTTAAAAACCCAAATTCTTCTCCCCCCCCTCCCCCCCCCCACCCTCAGCCCACCACACCGATGGAAAACAAATCCCTTGAATCATCATTAATTACACATTTCCATTTTCAGGTTGATTTTATTATTTTTTAATATTTTTTTTATGTTTAGACGTTTTGTATTAGAACTATGTATAAGTAAACCATCTTAAATGAATGAAAGTAGACTACAAGTAAGAAAGAAATATTACTATTGTAAATCTGTATCAATCATCACAAGCCGATGACAAAAACTGTAATACTTAAGCGAACATGCAAGGCAAACTGACGCTGTAAATTACTTGTCTGAGGCGGGGAAAAAAATTATAAAAATTCCGTCAGATCAAGAAATGTATCGAATTATAGGAGATTCAGTCAGATCAAGAAATGTATCGAATTACAGGAGATTCCGTCAGATCAAGAAATGTATCGAATTATAGGAGATTCCGTCAGATCAAGAAATGTATCGAATTATAGGAGATTCCGTCAGATCAAGAAATGTATCGAATTATAGGAGATCAAGAAATGTATCGAATTATAGGAGATTCCGTCAGATCAAGAAATGTATCGAATTACAGGAGATTCCGTCAGATCAAGAAATGTATCGAATTATAGGAGATTCCGTCAGATCAAGAAATGTATCGAATTATAGGAGATTCCGTCAGATCAAGAAATGTATCGAATTATAGGAGATTCCGTCAGATCAAGAAATGTATCGAATTATAGGAGATTCCGTCAGATCAAGAAATGTATCGAATTACAGGAGATTCCGTCAGATCAAGAAATGTATCGAATTATAGGAGATCAAGAAATGTATCGAATTATAGGAGATTCCGTCACATCAAGAAACGTAACGAATTATTATTTCTACCTATTTACTTACAAATTGTTAATATTTCCTGTTAATTTCCCACGCTGTTTATATTGTAAAATAAATTCTCAACAAAACTGTAAAAACATTTATGACTATCATGGTAAAAATACCATTTCTAATTACCTTCATTTGAGTTGTTGATCGACATATCATTTTTTAGTAATGTTCATTATTGTATTCATGTAATGATAATTTTTGTGTTTGAACTAGCTTAAAGACTAACGCACACACACATTTGTATATTATTATGCTGATGTAATTATTTCTATTTGAAAATAAAAGTATTTTTAAAAATTTAACTATAAAAAGTTCATGAAAAAAGTGGTTTAATAACAAGCTTTTATGTTATAATGAATAATGCACTAAAAAGTAGAAAATACACTATTTAAATTTAAATAGCTATAAACAAAATCGTGGATCACTTTAATATCTATTGGATACCTCTACTAATATTTAGAAAGAGACCCAGTGATAAAGTGCGTCGTTTATTTTCTACTTTTTTGTGCATAATTACATAAAAGCTTGTTATTAAAACCAGAGGCGTATTATTACTAAAAAAATTGGGGTGTGGGAGGGGGTGGGTGACACCATGACGTAAGCAGACTATAGACTTTAGATAAACATCCTTACTACTAAGTCTGAAGCGATTAAAGCTTATACACATACATGTAAGAGCATGTGGTATGTATTTAAATTATATGCTTATCTAGGCCGACACACTCTCCCTCACACACACACACACACACACACACACACACACATATATATATATATATATATATATATATATATATATATATATATATATATATATATATATATATATAAGCGTTGTTTTGGGATGGGGGGGAGTGAGTCGGAAAAACATGGTTTTGCAATCTTGTCCGTATGTGTGTGTGTATGTGTGTGTGTGTGTGTGTGTGTGTGTGTGTGTCTTTAAACCCGATAACTTGAGTACCGTTACAGCCAGGTTGATGAAATTTCATATATAAGTATTATATCAAATTTGTAGTTCTGTATCACTTTTCCGCGTTCTCCGATAACCGAAAGTGGCACTTTACTTTCAATTTTTCAAAAGCCTATAACTTGACTACTGTTTCAGATAGATAAATGAAATTTCACATGTAAATAAAAGATCTAATTCTCTGCCTTCTGTCAAATTTTGAGTTGACGGGAAGAAGTAATTTACGCTATGCCTTCAGGAATATTTAATTTTAACTTTTCAGTGTTAATAAAAAAAAATACAAAGTTAACATTTTAAATAGAAATTTTACCTATAAACAAAGTTAAAAATGAAAAAAAAAATTCATATACGATCATACGAATTTTTTTTTGTTGCTTTTTCTTTAAACATTGAAACAGATTTAAAATGAAAAAAAAAAAAAAAACAACAACAAAAAAAACTAAGATATTTATTCGAATAAACGAAATATTTTAAAGCAATCTGCGTGAATCACCTGACTTCACGGAAGAGAAAAAAAAACACAACACAGGAACATGTACTAAACGAAACCAACTGGGCATGAGCTTCAGCCTCGCCAAATCTGGACAGCCTGCTCGAAATGTCAGCCTTGTGCGCCTTGCTACGTCTTTTCCCTGTCAGACTCCGGCTCCCAGATTTTTACGCTCAGCTGGTCAGGCTGACTGCAGTGACCAATTTGACGTCACTTCCTATTCATCAATGACCAAAACAAGCTGTTATTACGCCGGCTGTTAGGGGGTTGAAATTACGGTCCGTCTAGAAAAGTCGCGGAAATACAGACGGTCGAATGGTTTTTCGGTCCGGGTTTTGTAAAGATGGTCTGACTGTTCTGTTTTTTTCTCCGAGTGAGTTGACCGCGGTGTCCTGAAATTTTTGGACATCGTTAAAAACGTTTGATCTTCTGAAACATTCTTTGTACATGCTCAGTGGTTTCTGTACAAGAGGGTTTTTTATATTATGTGTACATGTCCATCAGTAGTTCTTATATGGCGTGTACATGGTCATCAACGGTTCTTATATTGCTTATAAATGTCTATCAGTGGTTATTATATTGTGTGTACATGTATATCAGTGGTTATTGTGTTGTGTGTACATGTATATCAGTGGTTATTATATTTTGTGTACATGTCTATCAGTGGTTATTATATTGTGTGTACATGTATATCAGTGGTTATTATATTAGTGCATACATATATATCAGTGGTTATTATATTTTGTGTACATGTATATCAGTGGTTATTATATTGCGTGTACATGTCTATCAGTGGTTCTTATATTGTGTGTACATGTCTATCAGTGGTTCTTATATTGCGTGTACATGTCTATCAGTGGTTCATATATTGTGTACATGTCTATAAGTAATATTTATATTGTGTGTACATGTCAATCAGTGGTTCTTATATTGTGTGTACATGTCAATCAGTGGTTCTTATATTGTGTGTACATGTCTATCAGTGGTTATTATATTTTGTGTAAATGCCCATCTGTGGTTCTTATATTGTGTTGCGGTACTAATTAATTAATCAATCTTATTTAATTTTTACTATTAAGCATGTGGGCGAAAGTTCAAACTGAAGATTGATGGCCAAGAATGTGTGTTGCTTTTTTTGTTTCTAGTATAGGTCTTGATATCAACTGCAACGTTCTTAGTAGAATATAATGTCTTTAATGTAAACATGTAAATGTATAGGCCTATTTGCATGAGCATGTACATGTGAATGTGCAGGGGCATCGGCATGGGCTTAGGCGTAAGCGTAGAGGTAGACTTTGACGTAGGCGTTAACATAAACGTTGGACGTGTACGTGGACATAGGCAGACCTGGATATGAACATTTTAATTTCTTATATAGTTTTGTTTAGTTAAGCCCTTAATAATTCTCATAATAAAGCAAATCGTTTTTAAAACAACAGACACATCCTCCCAAAACCAATCCCAATTCAACCAAATTAAAACCAATCAATCGTCAAAGTCTCGCTCGTGCTCAAATGAAATGAAATCGTTAAACCCCAACCACAGCAGGATAATTTGTTTAAATTGGGTCAACATCGCCCGGCCTCTCGCCACAGTTACCGCCCCTGGGCCCAGGACCCACTCACCCCCCCCCCCATGTAGGGACCCACGTAGCGCCCACATTTGGGGCGCTGAGCCCCCCACACGACACCCGGGCGTCTATCGCCCACAAAGCACCCATTGGAAGCGGATGATTAAGCCACGGCTCTCAATTAAGGCTCCAAATGCGCGTGGGAAAGGGTGAGCAAATATGGCAGTTGTCGAGCCTTGGGCAAGCATTAGGCTCGTTCCAAGCAAGGGCTGAGATATTCTGTCGGACACTGGGGGTGGGGGTGAGGGGGTGGAGGGGTTGACAAGATAGCACACCCCCAAAAAGGAATACAGGCAAAATAAGTTGCTAACTTACATTGCATAGTTTAATATAAACATTTTTTTGCTTTATTTTTTTTTTAATTCCTCGCATTTATTTTGCCAAACTAAATATTTTTGCTGACTTGGGGGTGGGGGGGGGGGGGGTGAGGGGAAGACAGTACGGGTTGACGACATATTGTTAATATCAAGTTGAAAAACGAATGTTGAATGTTTGAAATTGGCATGAATTGAGAAGTTGTTTTTTTTTTTCTGAGATAGTAAGAAGGTAGAGAATATTACGCTGATAATCAAACGTCAAATTTTTCTTTAGGGAGTTGCTCATTGAGTATTTTCTTTTTGATGTGTAATAAACATTTTATTCAAATAATATAACATGTATTTTCTTTAAAAAAGTCTGCAGAAAAATATATGCACACAAAAGAAAAGCAATAGAGCTTGGTATTTTATAAAGTCTCTTTTCCATAGGCCTGATGTACAATTGAAGACAAAATGTGCTGGAACCTTCAAAGCAGAAAATGTTCCCAAAATTGCACTACTTAGGAATATCCTTACCAACAACAGCAAAGGAACATTGTGATACTTCTACTTTTTGCAAAATTCCAATGTTAAATTTAGAACACAGCATGTGTTGGTTTAAATATTACATCATAACTTTCAAACTTTGATATAGAACATAATCAAACTATTTTTTTGTGGTGTGATTAGATTTTTAAATTAAAATTAACAATTAACTGTATTGAATCATATAGCCGTTTTTTCTCTCTACCCAGCCTCATTATTATTCAGCTCTGTCGAGATGGACAGATGACCGACCAGGACGCTCGCCCGACACGGTAGCATTAGGTCGTCACAGAATCACTCCCCTAGACTGAATTATCTCCCCTGGACTGAATTATCTTTCCCCTGAGTTGAATGGCTGAAACACCGTGGTCGCTCATGCGTGAGCAGACATGTTACTTCCGGCTGATTGCGCGCGGAAAGTGTCCACTTTCGCCATTTTGTTGTCCAGTCAACACCACGCCCATATTTGGACAGAGGGTTGGGTGTTAGAGTGAGGGGGGGTGGGGGTGGGAAGGGCGGAAGGAAAGAGATACATTTGGGTTGAAAACTCTATCTATACAAGTTCAACAATAAGTGTTTTTTTCGGTGATTTTTCTCCTGGGCGGGGGGTGGGGGGGGGGGGGACACTGGTTAAAGTATATAATCTTATATAAAATTTTATATTTGTTCTATTTCACGAAATGTCTGAAAGGAAATCTGCGAACAAAACTTGATGAAATATAGCTTTGTTATAAAAGAAAACAATGTAAGGATTTTTGCTAATTTTCTCCAAGTATGAGTACAGAATCATAGGATCATAGGACGGCGTGGCCTAGCGGTAGAGCGCTAGGCTGCTAAACCGAGAGTCTCGAGTTCAAATCTCGGTTCAAGTGAGAAGAAGGCCGCTGAGTCCACCCAGCTCTGATAGTACCTAACTCACGTTAGGGAAAGTAAAGGCGACCGGGCATAATGCTGACCACACTATCCCTTTAAAAGCCGAGGTCACATACATAGGTAAACTCAACTTCACTTTCCCGATGGAAAGGCAAGCTCGAAAACGGAACTTGACTTTTAGTAGCATAGAGTGAGAACCATTTGCCCCTGCTGTTGTCTGATCTATAGTGTAATATAAACACGTTTATCCAACTTTATAATGATGTTAAAACGAGCTATTAACGGAATGCGATTCCGAAAAATATAGGGAAAAAAAATCTAATTTAGGGGAGGTCACTCTCGCTTTATATCACTAGAAATTTTTAAAAAAAACCAAGTAATTTTAAACAACTTTCTGCTTTTGATACAGGTAAAGGACTTGATTTTGAACTATCACTGGAGTTAAAACTACACAATACAAAAAAAAAGTATTTTCCAATGTGAACTGGCATCTGGATTAAAACTAGATTGTTGTGAGTGTGTGGAAGTGGGTGTGTCTGTCTGTGTGTCTGTGTCTGTGTGTAGAGGTGAGGTTGATGGATGGTGTGTGTCTGTGTCTGTATGTCTGTGTGTGTATGTATCGGTGTGTAGAGGTGAGGTTAATGGATGGTACAGACGATAAAACCAACAACACGGTATTGATGAAGTACCCACAAAACACAGGATCCATCTAAAGATAAAGCCGCATTCACTTTCCCTCAACGTGGCCTAACAGTAGAGTGCTAGACTGCAAACTCACGTCTCGAGTTCGAATCCAGATTCCAATGAGGAGAAAGCTTCTGAGTACACCCAGCTCTGACGGACACATAACTCAGTGACATAGACATATAAATCCGTTATGTGGTCAGCAGGTTACTTATTATAACTGGATTAACTCGAACCCTAGCACCGACTATCCTTAATCCTAACCTACAGTCTACCACCAGCAATATTTTCATAAATATTGTAAGTAAAGAATCTTCTTTAGACCTAACGGTGAAGTAGAGTTCATATGTTTCTTGACCTCGGCATATGAAGGGAAGCTGTGGTCAATCACCTTTTTTTTTACTGACTATTACCCCCGGATTCGAACTCGAGACTTTTGTTACCAGCATGGCGCCCTACCGCTTAGGCTACGCCATGCATAGATAAAATAATGACCTTTCAGGGCAATATATTTCTTCTTTCAAGTAAAGACGAAAATGGTCTTAGAACAATCACCGCATATGGCATGAAGGAATTCACCGAATGCTTACACAAACAAGCTTCACATTGTGCAGCCGCTTTTGTAAAGACGTGATTTCGATATACAACATCATTCCAATATCTGCCAGCTACAACAAGTAAATACGCAAGAAAAAATATAAGAAAGCTAGAAATAAGAAAATAATGCGAACCGAATCAGAACGAATACCGAACGGCCATTGCTAAGTAGCTTCGTTATTTTCCTATTATCCGCTCCGTGCACTGCGCATGTGCGGAAGTTATTAGCAGAAGCCAGTGCGCATGGCAGGGAAAACAGTGAAGTGGAGGGGGGCTCAGGACAAGCACGTGCCGAAACTGGGCGACGTGGGTTGGTTTTAGTGTTTTCATTCGGTAAAATTTATTAACCGACCGTTGACATGGCCAGGAAAATATTTTTTAAAAGAGGTTGAAAAAAAAATTTGGGGTCTAGCTTGCCACAGCTGGACTTTCTGTCAAAATATTTGACGAACAAGTCTAAGAAAACGTCGAAACAGTTTGAAAATAAAAAAATGAACTTAAAAAGAAATGGAAAGAGTTAATTAGGTTACCAATGTGTTCGCTAGCAAGGTTGTAATGCAATTCGTTTTTTTTCCTGATCAGTGTTTCTTTCAGCCCCCCCCCCCCTCCTCTTGAAACACATTTACCGCCGTTCTCGCCCCTTTCCCGGACAAAAAGAATGTATAAAACATATATACCTTTACTAGTGTCCCCCCCCCCCTCGGAAAATTTAGTCTGCCCCCCTCCCTCCCCCGGAGAAAAATGCCTGAAAGAAAAACTGTTCCTGATGTCTCATCTCTAACG